GGCTGAGATAGTGCAACCTCGACCCTCGATATGAATTTTTAAAATTCAAATCCAGGGTCGAGATCGCGCCACCTCGGCCCTGAATCTAAAATTTTAATTTTAACCATGTACTTTTTTATCCATCTAGCTACCTTTGCAAAATTGTGTTTGGCTTGCTCAAGCAACTCTTTTTATCATGTGCAGAACTATAAGTTCATGAACCATGACTGCATTTAGCATGTTTCACAACTTCAAGTGGCGTCTTTGGAATTTGCCCATGTCCAACTCCTTTTGTCATTTCACAATAGACGAAGACCGCTGCAAATTATAGAAAACTGAGTCGTATACAACAACTCAACCCAATCTTTCTGACTTCTCGTAACATAAGTGTAACATTTCAAATATTTATTTACTACATAACTTAAATTATGTTAATTCAACTTTGATCATTGGCAAATTAATTGATCCATGCCTAATCTTGTCATGACAATAAAATTCATTAATTAAAATGATAGTACAATATATGTATATATATTTTAAATAATAATAATAATTATTTTCTAATTAGGCATTTTTTTTATTTCTTCTAAATATTATGTGTGCCAAATAATTGGGTAAAGTAGATGTTGATAAAAAAAAATAAATAAATAAATATATATATATATATATATATATATATATATATATGGGTCTCATTTTGTAGATCTTATTAAATTACGTAAATCGAGTTCAAGAGAAGTTTATTTTGAAAGCATTATGTCGTTATTTTGGTTGAAACGAAATTTATTTAACCATTTAATATAACATTAATTATTATTTTTCTTTGCATTGATTGGTTGGCAAATGTGTGAGATTTCATGTGTGGTAAATAAATAATCAATGTTTCCATATCTATTAGTGGTATAAGTGTGTGTAAGTTATGAGAAGTGTGTAAAATATATTTATAAAAAAAAAAATATATAAATATATATATATATATATATATATATATATATATATATGGGTCTCATTTTGTAGATCTTATTAAATTACGTAAATCGAGTTCAAGAGAAGTTTATTTTGAAAGCATTATGTCGTTATTTTGGTTGAAACGAAATTTATTTAACCATTTAATATAACATTAATTATTATTTTTCTTTGCATTGATTGGTTGGCAAATGTGTGAGATTTCATGTGTGGTAAATAAATAATCAATGTTTCCATATCTATTAGTGGTATAAGTGTGTGTAAGTTATGAGAACATGTGGTGGTTTCTTCTCAAATACTTGACCATTTTCTTTTACCCACCCACCAATCACATTTATTTAATACTTACACACACGGTTATTGCATACATACAAAGTTATAAACTATATATACTTTGCTATCCTTCAAATCAAAACAAAAAGGAAAATCATTTTTCAAATTCTTAGCAGATTCAGATTTTTAAGGTAAGATACATAAGTACAGTGGTTAAAATTTTATTCTCCATGATATCTATATTATGATTTCATTCAATGCCTTAAGATTCCAAGATTTGATTTTTAAGTTAAATTGTTCGAGATAGACCGTCAGATCCAGTTATGTTAAATCATACAGAATGCAAAAATTTTAAAGAAATTCCTTGAACCATATGTTATCGCAATTAGTGGTTCTAAATCTATGAACGTCGAGTATGAATGTTTCATTTATATTTATGTTATTTTGAATAGAAATTTGCACTTATCTTACTGAGAGTTTTGTTTAAAATACTCACTCTAACAAAAAAATTTAGATTAGAACAGATCGTGTTGGACGCGTGGAAGATTGGACGAGTGGATACCTTTGGGCTGCCAAGTAAACAAAAATAAAATAAAATGATTTTAAGTATATTCAAGACTAAACTTTTATTTAACATGTTCATGTTTAGTATCTGCACATTTATTTTGTAGTTCTGACATTCAATTTTGTGTATTTCGTTTAAATTGATGTTGAATGATTTTAATTAAAATTAAATGTTGGTTGGCTTCATAGGGTTGACTTATCAAAATTTCTTTAAAGTTCCAAAAGTATATTTTTTTCCTCCAAAAATAAGAAATTTGGTAACACTTCGTTTTTTTTTAAATTGAAAAAAAAAAGAGCGTTACAGCTTGGCATCAGAGCTTAGGTCTACCTTTCTGCAGACCGAGTAAAAAGAAAAAAAAATTATTAAATTCTTTCACCATTATGTGATTTTTTTTTTTTTTGGTTAGTAGAATTATGTGTAAAATTGGCAGTCTCAAATTATTTCACCATTACATGATTTTTCGTTAGTAGAATTAAGTAGGGGTGTAAGCAGTCCAGTTTTACCGGTTTTTGACAAATTTTCAAACCAAACCGTTTAAATCGGTTTAAGAAAAATCTAAACCAAACCATTTTGAACGGTTTGAAAAAACTCAAACCTAAACCTAACGGTTTGGTCCGATTTTAAATCGTCGATTTCGTCTTATATTTTTTTGTGTCTATCTACTTTTATGACATTAATTCATTGAATTAAATATATCTTTATATCTTACTAGAAATAAATTTAAAACAATTTAAGCCCTTATTTGAACCAAATTTGTGGGACAAAAAAAATGAAAATTTGGACTATTGTCCCACAAGTCCAACTGCATTTGTTGACCTGTTGTTTCATGCGTGGGATCCAGCCTCCTTTCCAACGGTTAATTTTCTCATTATGATAACATGAAAAATATAGCTCGAACAGAGGCTAAATATATCTACAATATATTTAAATATCTACTAAATCAAAGTGAAATTACAATAAATTAAAACATAATTTTTTCGACATTATGATAACATTACAATACACGTCTACTAAATGAGATGCAAGGCCCAAAAAATATAATGATATCCAACAAGATCTCGTGATCATCATATCTGAAAAAAATGTTATTGATTAGACAAAGAAAATAATCAACCACAATAATAAAATAATTGTTTATTATATTTAAACATAACAATTACACAAGCTTACGTTTGTATAT